TGTATTAACCCCATCACCGTTAAATGGTCTTATTCGTTTTCTTATTAAAGGTGATAAAAAGTTTAATCATGGTTTACAAACATCTATTGATTATTTGGTTAGTGCAATTATGATTGTTACATTACTCATAACAGTTCTTTTTGGTACAATACTTCTTATTATACAGGTTTTATTTGATTTTGAAAAATTTTTTTTTTTGTTTTGTTAAATCTAATTTTAGATTCAACATGAAAGTATACATATGATTAAATTAACAAGTAATCTTATTAATGAAACAATTATACTTCAACCATCATTTCAACATATGTTACCTGATAAAGAACATATGGGTAAATTAATGGATACAGCTGTTAATAATTTTTATTCTGTTGGAAGAACTTGGATTGCAAAACAGGTTAGAAGAAATAAATAAATAAATAAATATAATTATTTTTGCAACTCATTATTCATTCTTTCGATAGCCTAAAAAAGAGACTTTCCCGTAAATAGACCAAAATAAGTTTTCGGACTCAGTCCAAAAGCCTAGTTTGGTCGGGTATAAGAAAATATCATCAATAAAAAGTCTTCTACTTATGAAAAACTCTATTATCAAATTTCGATATTTTCTCATTGATATATTTCTAATTTTTAGGTCAATGCATTGAGTCCAGATAGTTCAACAGATACAAAATTAGAAAAAGATGTTCTACAATTATGGGATCATTTTTATGAATATATGTCTAATACATCAACATTATTATTACCAGATAAAAATCGTAGTACAATAATATATTCACCAAAAAATCATTCATTACGAATACCAAATCTTGATTTTCATTTAAATGATTTATATCGTTTAGTTCATAATAATTTAGATTTTTTACGTAATGTTCTTGATTCAGTTTGGAAAAATACAACACTTCTTTTAACATTATTATCAACAATTATTTCTTTACTTTTTACTGGAGGTTTTGCATTACTTAATTTTCTTGTTTCATTTATTGTTTTTGTCACTTTACTTTTCTATCTTCTTTCTCATTCGGATGAACCTATATATCGACCAACTGAATGGTTAAATAATACATTATCTGTTGGTGGAAAAGGTTTAGGTAAAGCAGTTAATGATGCAGTTACAAGTGTTTTTGTTGCTTCATTGAAAATTGCTGTTTTTTATGGTCTTTATACGTATGTATTACATACGATAGTTGGTTCAAATCTTGTTTTTTTACCAGCTGTTATTGCATCCGTATGTGCTGTTACTTTAAAATCTTATTGGGCAGCATTGCCTGGTTGTCTTGATGTATGGCTTGTACAACAACGACCAATAGGTGCTTTAATTTTATTACTTGGTCAAATTGCACCAACCTATGTTGTTGATACAACCATATATAGTGATGTTAAAGGAGGTGGACATCAAGTAATATTCGATAAAGAGTGTGATTTTGTTTTATGAAGTTAAAATTTTCTTTTTTTTGTTTTTGTATAGTATTTAACAGCATTGGCTATTGCTGGAGGTGTTTATTATCGAGGAATCGAAGGAGCTTTAATAGGTCCAATTGTACTATGTTGTTTATTGGTTGGTGTAAGATTATATAATGAAACAATGGCTACAACATTATCTTCAAATCATGAACAAGAAACTCTGACATCTTCATTAAGTCATCCAATACCACCTCTAGTTCGTGCTCACAGTGTACAACAATAAATACATAATAAATTTCATTGCATGGATAATATATATTGTTTGTTTTTTGTAGTATTAAAATTATATGTCATTATTTATTTTTTTCTAATCAAGAATTAGAGATTCTTTTTTTTAGAGTATTTCAATGATTCAATAAAAATATCAAGAATTAATGTAGTGTATACATTTGTAAAGTGATATGCTTTGTCAACATGACATGTAAAGAATAGTCTTAATTTTTTTTAGTTTGAAGTACATATGAGCACAGTTAAATGATAATCAAGAAAGAAAATAATGTTGCTGGTCATAGACAAAAAACGTCTTAGTCTTGATAAATCATGTAGTTGTGAAACTGTTTTATATCGTTTGATTGAATAACGACAATTTCAAAGGATAAAACATAAGATTTATTTAAAAAAAATTAATTAGCAAAGAATTGCTTTAAAACAAATGGCTGATATTCAACGATGAAAATAAAAAATCGAGTATATTTTTTCTCTGATTATCTTTTCTTGCATTTAGCTAAACCTGACACATTGGAAGGACGATTCGCTCCGTAACATCAATCTTATGGCTCCTAATATATACAGGAAAGGTTCCAGCCAAATCCAATAAACAAGCCTTTCTCTTATGAATTATAGTGCGTGCCTTCACATGATGTATTCAGCGAACATAAAAAAATATTTTTATGGCAAAAGTTAAATTCACATTGTTGATTTGAAATCTTCAATTTGTACATTTTAAGTTGATATAATATTCGTTTCTGAATGTCTCATAGTTTATAAGAATCCAATTTGTATACAATGGTATTTACAAGAGCAATTGAACAAGAGAGGATTAATTTTTACAACTACAATTCTCAGTTGGGCCCTACATATTCAATGCCGAGTACAATATCTTTTTGTGTATCTATTCTTTATGATATCGTTATCTATATTTCTCTCTCCTTCTTGTTGATAATGCACACAGAGAGGGCGGCCTGACGGCAGTCTCACCTGGTGACCAAATATATCTTTTACATTGTCTTTCTTTTTAAGAAAGAATAAGGTAAGACAAGCGCGTATTTATTCATAAACTGATTCACGCAGCCTTTTCTAGAAGAAACAAGAATTGCTACAATGTTCTTGAGAAATTTCAAAAAAATCTATTAGCCTGGAACAGCGAAATTTTTTTGATAGTGGTCTAAAAATTTGTTTTAGCGTTTCAAGATTTTCAATTATAAGATCTAAATCAAAGTTTTCGTTGGCAACAGTCCGTTGGATAAAACCCCTCCTAACGTTCTAACTCAATCGAGAATAAGGTTTTATTGTAACTATGGCGCTAAAAACATCCATGGTGTTGCCAATGGAGCAGAAAATTTCCAAATGGGATAAAAATAAATGCTAGACGCATTTTTGAAAAGTTCTAGCTACTCTTTTTTTTTCAGAAAGACTTCTTTCAACGTCTAAAATATTCGATTCTAGATCTCTGTCTTTCGGCGTCCATCATGGCTCGTACTTTACATACTTCGAACATTTACTTTAACCCAAAAGTTCTTTCATTTGAAATGCCATCAACTACTGCTGCCGTTCTTGAATTTCATCAAAAACTTCCATGCTATGCTCCAACTCGCCTCGTGGAAGCTCCACTTGCCGCTAAACGTCTAGGAGTTCGTCATATTTGGGTAAAAGATGAGTCAAGTCGGTTCGGATTACCAGCTTACAAAATTCTCGGAGCATCCTGGGCCACATATCGCGAGTTGGAAACTCGTTTCGGTCCTTTTCAGCCATGGTCTAGTCTCGATGAATTGAAAGAGCAATTAAAGGATTTGGATATCACTCTAGTCACCGCTACTGACGGAAATCATGGTCGAGCTGTCGCGTGCATGGCTCGATGGCTCGGATTCAAGGCACATGTGTTTGTTCCAGATGATATGGTACATGCTCGGAGAGAAGCGATTAAGAGCGAAGGAGCACATATCGAAATCGTCCATGGAACGTATGATGATGCTGTAGCTAAATTAGCTCAAATTTCGGGAGACAAGTATCTAGTCATCAGCGATACAGCATGGGAAGGCTACGAGCGAGTGCCTACTTGGATTGTCGAAGGATATGGAACGATATTTCAAGAAGTCGATGAACAACTTAGAATACTCGGAGCAGAACAGCCACATTTGGTAGCGGTACAAATGGGTGTCGGTTCTCTTGCTGCCTCTGTTATTCGTCACTATCGTTCGCCTAACCGTACAACACACATTGTCGGCGTGGAGCCAACACATGCTGCGTGTGTACTACGTTCATTAGAAGCAGGTGAACTTAAAGAAGTTCCAGGTCCACATACATCAATAATGGCTGGTCTCAATTGTGGAAAGCCATCTCCCCTTGCCTGGCCTCTTCTGCGCAATGGTCTGAGTGGATCAGTGGCCATTGAAGATAGTTTCGCAGAAGAAGCCATGCGTCTACTCGCTCAAGATGAAGTAATATCGGGAGAGTCTGGAGCGGCAGGCCTAGCTGGCCTTCTGGCTGTACTGACCGAGAAGAATGAGACAGATATGATACCTCAAAAATTCGGCATCGATCACAATAGTAGCGTTTTGATCATATCAACCGAAGGTGCAACGGATCCACAAGCGTATCTTCGAATTGTTGGTCGTATACCTAAGACATGATATTCAATGATTTGTTGAAGAGTTTTTTATTTGTAGACTTTTCTTTTTTGTCAGTCGATATAGCCTTTTCTTTTTCATCTTATCAAAAAATGATCTATGAAATCAACAATTTTTTTCACACAGAAAAGTAACGATGTAGATAACATCAGTAATATACCAGTGGGAATATCGAAGCCAACATTATAACTATTTTGCGATAGAAGTCAATTCTCAAGCCAGTTTCAACACATTTGAACTAACCACATTGTGAGAAACATACTTAAGAAAACGATAATGGCGTTGAAACTGTCAAAATTTCTGATCATGGTTTGAGCCACCTTTTTCTAGCTTCTAACCAGTTCCTTCAGAGAAAACGAATGTCGAGTTTCAGTTCTTTTGAAAACAAGTGTAAACCTTTTCTTTTCCAATGTGTTAGAACTGAAGAAACAAGTACCATGCCTAGAATTGATATCGAACTGTCACATGAATAAATAAGAGCTTGTAGATTTTTGAAATAGATACTTCTAAGGTAGACCGTTCTGGGAAAGTGAAAATTAGTATTCTCTTTTCCTGCACCGATACCCACAGTCATCCATACCCACATCGACACCAACATGCACTCACATCTCACCCAAATAGTACAAAGCTCAAATATACTTATAATTTAGATGATGTATTAAATTTCATGATTGCAGTACTATTCAAAAATTTTTACAGTATTCCAGATTTTGCCTTCATTCGTACGAGTAACCCATAGGCAACAATCGAAGATCGAATATCGGTAAAGTATTCAATTTTTTCGTTCGGTATATAGGGGCAAATACGTATCGATCGAGCTCCCACTGTTTCGCCTTGTACTTGGAATGAACCTGGTTGTTGACGACATTGGAGTACCATCTGTACTTCGTAATTAGTACGATCTACGTGCGAATAAAATGAATTCTTTGAGCTGTAAACAGATAAACTTGAATAGACAATTGTTGGCGATGTGAAAATAAATTTTTGATTGGGAATATGTCCTTCTCGTATACCTAATATTGTGCCATCGATTAATTTATCACCAGGTAAATAGAAATGACGATGTGTAAGAATTGAACGTGCTGCTATTTTCGTTGTACCATGAAATGTTACAATCCATTTATTCCAAATATTATGTTCTTCTTTAAACATAGGATCAACATGAAGACCAAGACGAGTCCAACCGCGTGGTATAACATAATGACTACCAACAGCTAAGAGAAGATTTTCCCATGTAGATGGATAACAATCCGTACAAAAACATCGATTATGTGTCTCGTCAAATAAGGATTTAGGCCAGTTTAATGAATCAACAAATTCTTTAGCGAGTTTCATTAAGGAACATTCTGATGGCTGTAATGATTGAATCATTGTATCTTTAGTGGTCGATAAGAAAGCGGGCATTTTATCGATCAAATGAGATAGTTCCTCCCTTCTTGTAAGCGATACACGACGGTTAGGTCGTGATTGCTCGCTCGATTTTTGTTGCGTATCCTGTACCTCATAATCTTTATTCTCATTCTGAACAATATCATCATTGGCATAATTTATATTATCAACCAATGAATTTTGATTCACACCAGTGTTTTGTATTGCCGAAGAAACATCGAAACATCATGAATTATGAATAAAAAACTAATTATTATGAAATCATTAATTAGAATTGTACGGAAGTTCGTGTAGACTTTTTTTATTCTACAAATATACATATAGAAAGATAGATAGAAATGATGTTCTTCGAGTTCTAGCATCAATATTATCCCTATTTTTAAAGGAACAATCTCTAAATCAGATATATCACTGCTCATTAACGGAAATCTTTTTTTTGTACCTTTGTTAAGAAACAATCTAACAGCATTCATCATTATTTATTATATATATATAGAGTGACGCTCAAAATTATTCATAAACCCAACAAATATCAACGGTTGTTGACAAAATAGAACTGAGTACCGATGCTCTCTGCACTGGAACTTGCAGCCTTATAGAGCATACCTTGATGGCTTAAGGCTCAAAATAGTAAAATTGTATAGTTTTGATTTAGCTGAAAATTACTTATACAACTATCGCAAGAAGCAAAATGATCTCACCATCGAGTATTTTGCAAATACATCAACATGAGTAAATCATATAGACTTAAATTGGTTTTTAAAGATACGGCATGAAATTCTCTACAAGATTGGCTAATCAAAAATATATACTTTATTAATAAAAAATGTTTTCCTATAAATAAACATTGTTTCTTCCGTCGCTGCATACGTACATGTTCTTCGAGAATGAATTCAATGAGAACGCATTTTCCTTCAGAATAAACTGGTTCAAGTGCGTTCTGCTATTTTGTAGAACGAGTTCAGACGCGTTTTTTCTCTGAACATATTCGAATCTACTTTTTAAGAACGAGATTGCGACCATATTTTTTTTCATCAGCATCTTTTCATTGCTAGTCGCAATTCAGTTCTACTGAAACGACGTATAAATTGAAATTCGAAATGTAACTTGTGAAAGATTTAGTTATTCTTTTTGAGAATTGACTTTTCTATCAAAAAAGATCCCTTAAATATGCAGCTGTTTAAGATCATATATAAAAGAATACTTGACATGGCGAGTCTCTAAGCAGCTCTATAGAACAAAGTGACGAAAGACGTTTCATGTGAGCACTTTTTGTATTCAGATGATAAAATATCGAATCAGTATATGTGACTTGCTATGGCTCTAAGTGTTGAAAAATAAATTCATATGCAATTAAATATAGTCGAATAACAATATGTACACTCTCTTTAATTTCAAACAGCTGCTTCAGATTAAGTTTTGTAATGTTTCTTAAACGCATAGCAGAAATATTATTTTTCAATGGGTCTGTGAAAACAAGCAACTTAACATCGTCAAGTTGTTGATCTTCTTTTCATTGAAAATAAAACTAAGAATCTTATGAACTCCAGTATGCGAAATAATGCGATATGAACATCGAATGCTCACATGTATTATGTGGTTCTTCTGTGTTACGTGAATGTGTTTCTATAATTAAACCTTATTAAATCTTACTTTCAATGGCGGTTTGAATGAACATCTGGCATCTCATGAATTTTCAACTACATGGATGCAAGATAGATACAATAATTACATATTACATTTTTCTACTTGATGGCAATACTTTTTTATGTCCTATCTAAAAGCTATTAGGATGACCAATTTTATTTTTCATAAAAATACGAAATAGAAAATATCTTGACTAGGATTCTTTTGTTAAATACTCGATTTAACAACATAAAGAAAACAGAGAAAAATAGGGACGAACTTTAGCTTATTATTTTTAGATATCCATTAATAACTGCGATTATCATAATGTATTGAGTGCATGTTTTAAAAGTTCATCTGCAGCGATTGCTATGAAGTTATAAAATGAGCACTGTGATATAAATTTTGCGTCCACCATTTCAAAGTTGCCTTTACATAAATACTTATTTGTTTATTCAATATTTTCGGTAGTAAAGACATGTCTTAAAGATCAATAATCTGGATACATTTTTACTTCGGTTTCATAGGTGAATGTGGGTGTGTGAGTCTTCTTTTAGTCCACACATCCACACCCACACCCTAATTTTTCTGTTAAATTTTTTTTTTTTTAAATAACCTTTCTCATAAAAATCTTTTTTCTTGAAATAACGAACTCGAAATTCGGAAAAAAATCGATTTCAGATTCTGATTCTCCAGCCTTAATCATTTTGGTCACACTTTGTAAAAATTACTATTTTCAGAAAAAATTTTTTCCATGACGAAAAAATGAAACTCAGAACTTTGAGAAACCGATCACAGATTCGGTTTCCTCGATCTCGATTATTTTTGGTCAAATTTTGTAGAAACGTATAATTTGTAAGAAGCTGTCTTTAATTCGATGGAATTGGAAAAGTTCTACTAACGTGAAGGGGGCACTTGTTGCGTTCTCTGTTCTTGGGAACGCGGATCGCCATGGCGTTCCCGTTTCTAGGAACGGAACGCAAAAGTGACACCCCTAGTGACAAGCTACTCAATTTAATTTGCCATCACGCCGAAGTAAGCAAACAAAACAGAATACGACCACCATGACTAGTCCAAAGTGTTCACTACGCCTGCCTGATCTAGTCTAAAATGTCTCGCGACCTTCGCCATGACTAGTCAAATTTTGAACACATCATCGTATTGTTCCTACACGTGCCTGAGTAAAGTCCGCCAAATCCGAACGGAATTTTCTTTTTCTGGCTTTCTTGAACAGGTGAAGGTACAGCTTCTTGTTTAACATGGTCAACGATTGAATTGCGACGTCTCTTGTTGTCGTTATCCATTAGTTCTGCAATCGAAAACAATATGCATTACATAGACTTTCTCTTTGTTAGGAGTGCCGAAGAGGACTGTGAATGTGGAGGTGAGTTTCGGTTGGTGTGCAGATATTTATGTAAGAATTTGGATGTGGGTGTGGGTGGATGTGGATGATGGAAAATCCGTACTCGTCCCATATCCACTCCCTTTAGGGAAAATTCCATAGAATCCTGGAGAATCTAGAGGATGCTTGGGAATTCTGAAGAACTACCGAAATCCTAAAGAACCATAGGGGACTCTTAAAGCTCAGAGGAATTCGATGTTTAAGTAGTTCGTGATTTTTCTCTTGGATAGAATAAAACAGGAGTTGTTACCGATAGAAACTTCATAATCCGTATGAATTTTACATGTTATGCTTTCGTAAAATTGAAGTAACAGATTGTTGCTTCCGAGAACTACGGACATCAGCCCGTCAGATTCTATACAAGCAGCTAGAGAAACTATTTCGAATATTCAATGAAGCAAAGTTTTGAATGAACTTCTACCTATGGTTTTTTTCTTCGAAATCAGTGCGTGTGTGGGCCATATAGGTCTGTTGATGACGTTTCGAGTACTCCATCCAATCTTAGAAATTCTTCTAACAAAGTGTTCATCAAAGTCAAATAATGAAAACCAGCCATACCGAGTCAATTCTACCGATGGTTTCTTCCAAATTACTCGAGTATTGTGTAAGTAAGAAGAGCGCATTGTTTGTCAACTATTTTTTTCTAGCTTTCACATTATGGCAACATTTTGATCCCTTTTCACCTTCTTTTTCTTTCATTTTGAATTCTTTTCATCTAAACACTCTTTGTTAAAGGAATTCACATAGCAGCAGTAAAAAATAAAAGGTAAACAACAGAAGACGATTTCTTCTAAATAAGAAAAAGAATCATATTTGCGACTGTGGGTGTGCGTGGATGGGGTGTGTGGGTGAGTGCGGGCATGGGTGGATGTCTGGATGTGCAAGTGCGGATGCTCAGTGTAGGTGTGCCTATGCATGACGACTCGTATGCATTTTCATATGTTGAAGTTGCCCCCACATGTACAACCACATTCGCATCGATACCCATACCCACACCTCCCCCCCCCCACACCCACACCCACATCATTGATCCTTTTTTTCATCATTCAAGCTTGCGAAAGATGATGGATAAAAATAAAATAAGAATCGTATATGATGGAGAGAGATATGAAACATGTGTACGTGTTATCAGATATTTTGTCTGTCAACCTTCATACAAACCAGTGTGCTCTCCCTCTTTGCATTCGCTCAAGCACACAGTTTTGCCTTTTTTCTAGTTTGAAACAACGTTTCTCAGGTATGTGCGCAATCATAGGGTATATATAACAAAAATAATAAATGATGAAGGCTACAGTGAGAGATACTCATTCGCAAGCAAACAAGTCAGCTAGTGCATTATGTTTAATTTCATAATTTTACATGTGCTGAATCAAAATTCTTATTTTTTGTAACATGTGTGATGCTCTAGTATTAGAGGTAAAGCGTCGATTTCGACCTAAAGTTGATCCCGAGATATTGGTAAGAATAGCCATTATGGAAGAATTAATTTCGAATACTTTTCTATACACTATCTAACATTTATTCTTCAACAATAACTTTCTGAAAGAATTCATATATTTTATCGAAGTAATATCGGTCAACGGAACTGTAATCTCAGAAGAAATAGCTGAGTAAGTTATAGCTTCTTCACATAATAGTGTCGAATGTAGTTCAGATTAACTGAATAACAAATAACTATCAATTAATTGATCACATTATACTCAAACTTGCATTCATAGTTAATTTTTCATTTTATAGACATACATATCATCTTTTATGAACACCCAAAAAAAGTTATTGAGAGAAATTAAACATTACATTTTGTTAACACTTCACATTGTTGAAAATTTATTCATTTGATACTTAGTTTAATAACTAATAAAATAGATCTATAGAATACTATCCTCTGAATTGAACGAACTTTGAGTATATAATCATAGAAAAACCTATCGGGCGTAAACATGGTAAATGTAAATAAGGTCCTCAGTCTAAGTAAGGGGCAAATAATTACTTCGTCGTACTGAGTTTTTAAATTCCCACTCTCATTTGTGTATTAATCAAATATAAATTATACTGGCAAAAATAATCTCGAAATAGAGCAAATCATTCCAATCCTCTAAGAATAAGTATTCAATGAAGAAGTAGGAGAAGCTTGTGACGTCAGAGCAGACATTATCTCGGTTCAAGGCAGAGCACAGATGGCGCTTTACAAAAGCTGAAGATTATAATTCTAGCTATGGAAAAGTTGAGCAAAGTGTTGGATGAAGCTCGTCGAGTTCCATTTGGAATAAGGATGAGTTTTCAAACTAGATCGTGACTAAATCCGTGGCGGAATTACTTTGAGAGTACGTGAATCTCATAAAGAAAAATTGATTTTTAAGACAATCAGTTAAAGCTATGGCAAACCTAATTAAACCAGTCGATAGAGCTCATTTAGTTCTACTCGAAGCAATAACCGGAGTTTTGAAAGAAGTTCTTTGGCGAGTTTGAGGTAGAAAAACTTGAGTCTAATGATAAATTTACCAAAATCTCGGTTCAGAGTTTTTCAAAATTCGAACCGAAAAAGAAATTTTTATAAATGTTAAAGCTCTACTGGATATTGATCGATTTCCATAGATTTCCAGGATTTCAGAAATTGAGTCGAAACAGCACTTTCCAAAAATCCCAAGAATTTCATGTCATGTCTTCTAATATCGGAAGTTATCTTGTTCCATGATGCTGAACATGTTCGGAACTGATTGAGCAAGCCAAACTAGCACTGAGCTAATCCTATTAATTTCGTACCGGAATTATTTATCTGTCCTATAAGGAATTCAAGTTATATTTCATCTAATTTATTTGCAATACAGAGAACTTATTCAATTAGTTTGAAAGTAATTATAAAGCAAGATTCATAAGAAAACACAAAATAACATATGAGATAAAGAAGATATGAACAAAATTATTGTTAGGAGTGTTGAGTCATATACAAATCTTTGTTTTGAGTATCTTGAGATAGATATTTGTGCTTTTCCTGTTCTGCTTACGAATAACTTTATTCAAATGTTTCGATACTCATCAGATTAACTTCTTCAGTGTAAGGTTTACAACAGCAACAGTTATAACTATATATGAGGCTTCTTTTATATAAATTGCAGACTTTCAACGTGATGACGTTACGATCCTAAAAGCATCATGTTCTCTTTTTCTTTTCTCTCTCTAATACTGGTACAGAATAAATATAATAAATTGGATAGGATGACAACTATCAGTTATCCTTGTTTTTCGTACCAGTATTAGAAACAGAAGAAAAAAAAGAGCATTAGCCTTTTAGGATCATAAGATCATTGCTTTTAAGTTGTGCAATAAAAAAAAAAACAAAGAACCATATCTGTTGTTGTAATGTTGACGCAAAGAAGGTTATTTAATGATTATCGAAACGTCTGAATAAAATTATTTGTCAATAAAACAGTATTAGAAGATTAGCTTAGCAGAATAAAGATTAGAGAACGCACAAAAAAAAAATAAAAGAAATTTATTCTTTTAAAATAAATAGTATCACTGAATACTATAGGTGTACAACGTCAAAATCTATACGTGAATAGTAAAGCTATTCATGTGAATACTATATTAATTCCAATATCACTTACTAGCTGATTTCGGGTATGAAAAGTATTCATATCGGAGTATCGTAAACAAAGTTCTAAATAACGTTGGTAAGATTCTACGATTATGTTTAATAATGTTGTAATAATTGTAAGATAATCTTTCAATGCACAAGTTTGATTAATTTATTTGTTACTTCTCCAAAATTACGTGTATAGGAATCAACGTGATCTTTCATAAATGAAAATGTTTTTTTGTTTTGTCGCTTATGGAACTCTTAAGTTAAGGGCCGTCAGATGCATTTACAGTATTTTGTTCTGTTTCCGACTTTGAACAAATGTACGGTTCATTCAGAAAATTTCACGCAGAACCAATGAAATGAAAATAAAATAAAAAACTACATAGAAAAATAGAAACAGAAGCGATGAAACACATACAGCACTATTTTTCTTCTAATTTCAGAACATTATCAGTAATTTTTTAAGAAGTTTTTTTTCAGTTGTTCATTAACTATATTCAGCTAAAGTATTTAGTGCATACAGATATGTCAGGGTAGGTAGAAAAACTAGGTTGAAAAAATTTTGAATTATGAGTGAATGTACTTGTAGTAGTCCGGAAGAAGCCATTGCAAAACTAGCTCAGCAAGGTGGGAAAGTCGATGAAGATACAATCGCACAGCTTTACGATCAATTGAAACCAATCGAGCCCTCATTTTTGTGCAAAGATAGTGGTGAATGGGAAGGTGGTGTCTTCGATACTGGTCACTCTGGTATTGCAGTAGTGAAGAACATTAATTGGGCAGGCAAAACATTTAAGTCAGAAAATGATGTGGATTCAGCAATGGTATATGACAAGGATGGCAACCGTGTTTGGTGTGAACAATATGGTCATGGTCGAGTAAGTTTTCTTTGCATTAACTCAAAATGATTTTCTATCACTAGTCGAATTCTATAACTAGCTGCGTGAAGTTAAATTTCGTGGTAAGGTATCAACCGCAATGATATGCGATACGATCCCTATCATCGACCATTTTCGATACGTCAACGACAATATGGTGGCAGGAGTCATGGATAACAAGTTGGATTATGGAAAAGAAGATAGTACATTGTACTTTTTCCTCACACGCGGTGTCAATATGTCGAAAAAATAAGCAAATATCGGTTGATGAAAACGGTTGAAAAATTAGAACTGAGCAAATCATTGTATCTCGCTTAATTCTTGTTCTTTTCTAGCATCATCATGTGTTCCCAAGCATTTATTCTTAATAATCATAAAGTACCCTCACTGAAAAAGATGTGAAAATAATAGAAGTGCCCAACACCATTGTTACACAAAATAGTGTGAACAATTTGAGAGCTTGAACTAACTGTTTTAGTTTCTTAGTATGATTATCTTAAACGATGAGGGTGAGAGTTACCATCCTCAACACATATTTCTATCCTATCATGCATCATCAAGTAGTTTAACGATAAGGAAATCTATTAAATAAACTTATCAATACGAAGTCTATTTGACACCTTGATCATTTTGCATTGCATCATAATCATGTTACACTACACATCGTGAAAATGTCTTATCTAACGATTTCAGAAATATATCCTTAGATCTTTTCAATTACTGGTTCAATGTTTTTCTGTGCGAACTAGCCCATAGTTCTTTACTTGTGTGGTCGAGGGAGTCTCAGCAAAGTCAACGGAACTAATCACAAACTTTAAAGAAAACAACAATAGACTCACTTTAATATCAGGTATGAACCAAAAACTTTAAACGAATG